AGACCTCTTGGTCATACGTTTTCTGCTCTTCCCCCTACATTTATATATTTTGAAAATCATATTAAGTCGCATCTAATGTTTTATAATAAATTGAATATAATTACATCAAACATTACAGTGGATACACAAAAATTAATTTTTCAGAGTATCATTAAATGAGCCTTTTCGCTTGTTAATCGTGTTGCCTATTCTTTATTTTTGCAGTTTTTGGCTAGGGTGGGGTTTGAACCCACCACCTCCAGTATATGGGGCAGCAGTCTGATCCTTTGAGTCACAGGCACTGCCCTTGGGTTTCCTTTTCTGAGCACTACTATACATCTAGCTTTACCACATACACAACCAGTAGCAAAGAAAAAACAATACGCTGATCACACATTTTATGTAGTATAATATCCATGGTACTCAGTGGGCCTGTCTTAAATGTTTCATGCATGCACACACCCAGGAGCAATCTACTCATTAGCCCTGAGGCCTAGGGTTGACCCTGTTTTACATTTGGTCCATATCTATGGTATGAATACTACTAATTTCAATCCACCAACATGAGGGTGTCATTGAACATGTATTGTAAAGATATAAGCAATAGCATATCATTATTTAGCATTATGCAGATCCAAAAGACACAATATTCCCAAGAGCATAGATAAGAACACTCTCTAGCACATTTGTATTTACCAAACTATTATGTAATTAATGTTCATTAATGCTTATGTTTAACAGCTGACTACTACAAACTCTGAAAACTTAACAGTCAACTTTTGCAAGGAGGCATGAGCCAGCTCTGATAGACCACAGGAAGTATTCACCATTCTCATGATACACAATCATATGCACATTTCATCCTTTGCACACATAAAAGAGGCAAGGAAAAGTCATGGATCTTAGTTCAAATATATAATGGAGAACATCTCAGCCAAAAATAAGAGGAAGAGAAGCCCCACAAACATTCTATCTATTAGATTACTCATAAAACCGGACCCAAGTTAATTCTCCTGTCTGGAGTCTTTGTGGCCCTCATCCTGTTCACCCTATGCAATCTTTTAATACTATCCAGTGACAATCACGTTAAACCTTGATTCAGCAATCATACCTCAGTTCCAGATTCAAATGTCGAATTACCTACTGGATAAATAAATACGTTTAGTTTCATGACAAACACCAGAAACATAGTATGTAGAAAATAAACCAATGTTGGTTTCCCTTTGAAACTTCCTCCCGCCTTTGGTGTTTCAGCGAATGAATTCAAGCAGCAGGTATTTGTTCTTCTTTCCTCCATTCGGGATTCCCATTTAGTCACTAGCTCAGGCCAGTTTTATGCCTCAATAACCCTTGGAATCTCACTTCACTTTCTGCCCCAGAGCACTGGTCAGCGTTATCTCCTGCACAGATCCGTAGTCTAGCTTGCCACCTGGTCTGCTCCTTTCTACTTTATTTGAGATCATTTATGTAGAATGCAGATCAGATCTCCTAGTTTCAATTTACACTCCTTACATATTTGTAAGAACATTAATTTCATCATAAAAATTTATAATCCTATGATAAAAAATACATATGCATCTCACGTGCATTTAGATCCGAGTATCTTCTTAGTCTTTATTTACACAGTTATTTATTTACACAGTTATTTATTTACACAGTCTTTATTTACCACAGTTATTTGGACCATGAAATCTTAAATACTAACAAACAAGCAACTAATCAAGGAAACAAGCAAATATGGCCTGATCTACTACTTAGAATACCCCTTCCCTTGCAATGTTCTTCTTTTTTCTTTACAGAGAATTAGGTTGCAATCTCCAAAAGGTCACAGCTGTGTCATTTCACATTTCATTTCCAGCAACTAAGAGTCCTGTTATATAGATGAAAAGAATTTAGGAGAATACAGAGCATCTAATAAGCATGCATGATATATCATTTTCTAACTTCTAAACAAGAAAAATGCCTAATAAGAAGAGGTGAACACAGGGAATGTCATTGTAATAAATTCCCTAGAAACTTTATTCTGGTCACTGAATGACGTCGAGCAGATTGAAGAACAAAGCACAGTCATCCCCGGAAAGGACAGAGCAGACTTAGATGAAACGGTACTCAAGACATCACCAAAAGTAGTAAACGCACAACTCTCAGAGCTCTGAGAGTAGAAAGATAAATTCTAACTGCGGAGTAAGAAAAAAAATCACCCAAATCACCCAAATCAGAAAGAAACACACATCATATGCATGGATGATGCGAGTACAGAAAAATAGCTGATTAACTTCATTGAGGGCCCTTAGCAGAAAGGCTCCAGCCACACGACCAATAGGCTTTATAATAGGCATGCTTCATCGTAAAAACAAATAAGTAAAAAGGTGGGTATAACAATATATACATTATTTGCTAAAATTTTCTTCAGTGAGCTTTTGTAATGTTGAAGACCTCCTCTAATGAAACCGCAGCTCTCAGTAAAATCCACAGTGAAGATATCTATGTATGTCATATTTGTGTATACATATGTGTGTAGATTTAGAGACATATATAGATGCCTGTAGGCAGAGAAATATAAAGTTTGGATACATTCCCCCCTCTCTTGGAAGAAAAATAAAGAAATTTTCAAGTTTTTCCATATGTGAGCCACAAATGTCTTGGCTATATTTTACAGATTTCAGGAAAAATCTTTCTAATATCTCTCTACGGAAGGGTTGGTAATTATAAAAGAACATGAAATGTAAATAAGATTGACTAGACATTCTGGAAACTAGTAATTGTTATTTTGAATATTCACCTAGTAATAACACTCTGAAATTGGCACAGAGGGAAATGAGGAACAGAGAGGCTAAGAGATTTGATTATCTCATGACTCTCAGTCAGACACGTCAGACTCCTGTGGCTAAACTTAGCCAACTTTTCAGATCTACCAATTAAGTGCCTCTGTTTGCAAGTACCTTTCAGTAAAATTATTTCATGACTAACCTGCTTGTTTCTGTTATTCATATCCCACATCATCTTATTTTATTCAGGATTTTAAAAATATTATTTACGAGGTACCTGCAAAGAAACTAAGCCCCAGGATACATATAAAACAATTTCCATCACTATTAAAAAGATAAGGAATATGGGCAAAACATAAATATCATACAACCTTTTAATGCTAATCTGTAAAATAGAATGCTCTATAGTACATTAACTTAGGCTTATTGAACTTTATCTCAAACAGTTGAATTTTCCTGTTATTGTTTTTTTGAAAAATGAGCTATCACCAAACCAGGCTCCTATAAATGCTTTTCTATGGTTTTCTGTGATAAGCCAAGAGAAACAATAAATATTTATTCTTTGTTCCAATGACAGGACATACATTTATTCATAGAAAGCCAGTTAAAACAACAATCAGTTATGTCACCCACATATTCAGAGTCATACAGAGCCCGATTTTAATAATTGTTTTAAGCAAAGATAGTCTGAGCAGGAGACAAACGCAACATGCTTATAGAATGACAAAGTGCCTTTGCCCAAAGTCTTCAGGCTTAATGAGCTTGAATTTGAATTCTTCCCACACTAAAGAAGAGACCCACACACTAAATGAAATCAGAGTGAGGCTTCATGGGAGGTGCTTGAGATTATTGGGGTGTGCATAACCAATGACCAGTTTCAAGGAATTTACCCAGGATCCAGCATATTTTTTGTGATGAACCTAAAATTACACTCTCAGGTACTTTTCTTGCCTGAGTTTATTTAAATAAACACTTTGAGTCTAGAGTTTTCCTCAAAAAAGGGGCAGTAAAAAAAAGTAAGGAGAAAAATACAGGTTTCTAAATTTTTAGAGGATCTTCGGTCCATGATAAACCTGACAGCAAGATGATGCGATGAAAATGCATCCTTTAAAATAATTGATAAATACAATAAGATTTCATAATGACATTATACAAACTGCACCTGTGTCATCAATACATAGACTGGTTAGGGATTAAAACAATGCATTAGATTTGTTTGGTTCTACTTATTTTTGACTCTCCATGGTGATAAAAGCATCTCCCTAATTTATCCTTAAGTCCACATATTCAGGAATAAGTAGAAAGGTGGTTCCAGACGTAACAATGTAACACATTGTTACATATTTCCTTATTGGTCCCCAGTCTTTTTCTGGGCTCACCACTAGAGATTTGCATCTAGAAGTCAGACTGGTATCCACAACACTCATTTCATTGGCGAGGAAACCACCTTCTCCAATAACTGCTCCAGGCAGTTGAGATTTATTTAAATAGGGCAGCGCCTGTGGCTCACAGGAGTAGGGCGCAGGCCCCATATAGCAGAGGTGGAGGGTTCAAACCCAGCCCCAGCCAAAAAAAAAAGAGAGATTTATTTAAATAGAAAACCCACACATGAAATTTTTTGTGACTGAAATAAACACACTATTGAAATGTCCTTTGCTCTTTCTAAAGTAGAGTGGGTGGAGGAATTCGCAAAAAGATTTACTGAAATCAGTTATTCTCAAACTTGGAGGCACATTAAAACCTCTAGGATTTTTAGAAATTACTGATGCCTAGAGTCCACCTGAGAAATGTGATTTAATAGGCTCCTGCTTGTCAGTTTTTGTTTTTTTTTTTAAACCTTATCTAAGTGTACTTTTTAAAAAGTACCCTAAGAGTCCAATATGTGGCCAGTGTTGAGAAGTAAGGAGTTACCCTCCAGGAGAAAGTTTTTTTTCATATCAGACCTTTCGTGTTTATGGAAATGTAATATAAGAGGTTTTCTTTTCTTTCCAAATTATTTTATTTTGTTTTTAACACTTAGATGATCTTGCTTTAGCAATAGCTACTACGTTCTCCATTAAAGAAAAACTGTCATCAACATTGTCTAAGTGACTATGGAGACTTTGCAAAGTGGGTGACTATCTCCCAATTTCTTACTAATCTGTCAATGAATCATACATCCCACTTGGATGCTCTCTGGTGATTGTATAGGATGAGCTTTTTAAAGAGAGTACATTAATCAATTTTACTTCTCAAAGCATGAATAAAATGTACCTTGCTTTTAGCCCTTGCAACTGGAAGCTTAGAGGCAACCGTCCTGGGGGGAAGCAACATCTGAGTTGGATTTGATGTGATTCGACTCAAAGAGGGAGGCTGATCACGGAACACGGACGTCAAGCAGAGTTGTACAGTCTCTTTCATCGCTTTCATCTGTGACTCCTGCAAAAAAAAAAAAAAAAAAAATATGAGCATTAACATGTTTACATTGGCTCTGGTCGTCATTTTTCTGCTTCCGTTCTCCTCCTAGCCTCCACTCACTCCCCACGCAAATACACGAGTTTTCAAATGTAATTGCCTACTTCCTAGATTCTGTTATGTAAACTACTGAATCCATACTCAGTTTGTTGTGAGGAGCTGATGTGCTGCGTGACATATTGTAAACACCAAATTTCAAGAGAGATAGTGCACATTTTCCCCTTGAATTGGCACCACTTCTAGCATAATGTTTTGCTGGAAAGGAAATATACTGTGGGTGATTCTGAATGAGACAACGTTCTCAGACACCTGCCATCTTTCCATGGAGTCAACTGTTTTTATTAACAGTAGCTGTTCTAGAAAAGTAGGTTTCTGTGTTTCTCAGAGTAGCCTGTACCTCTGCTCAAGTTCCCCACACAATTGAAAAAAAGAAATTTGTCTCTGATAAATCTTCTGGGTCTTCTTAGCTAATAGGAGCAAATCCAATAAAATAACAAATACAAACAACTTCTTATATCAGGATAGAGTATCACGAGAGTTGAAGCATTTCCACACGCAAGGAATAATTTCATGCTTTCCAACATCTATGAGACTGGCAATATTTTTATGACTCTACTATGAAAAAAGATACAAAGGTTTTAATTTTTTAATTTCAAAATATGTCAGCCAATTAAGTTTGCAAACTCATCCTAGAAAAAATGCTACATAGTTTATTGCCGAATATCACTATGGTCACCTTCAAAGTACTCTCCCTGGCCATCTGGTGATTGCGGTGATGTTCAGAAATGAAGTATGTAGCACTTTCTCTAGGACGAGTTTGCAAACTTAATTGTCCATCCTCCTATAAGGGGGTACAAATGTTTGTGTTATGTGGATGGATACCCTTTATAATACTTAACAGGGTTTATAAAGTACCTCTCACCATATTATATAGTATATAGTGTTTGCTATACCCATAGATCTTACCTCCCCACACCCTTCCCATTCTTGATTTCCAAAGCTCTTTACATCTTTTGTGTCCACGTCTGCCCATCATTCAGCTCTCAAGTATTAATGAATACATGTCACGTGGTGTTGGCTTTGCATTCCTGAAACATTTTGCTTAGGATAATGGTCTCTAGTTCCATCTAAGTTGCTGCATAAAAACATTATTTCATTTTGTTTATAGCCGAATAGTATTCCATAGTATGTATTAATACATGCCACATTTTCTTTATCCGCTCATGAATTGTTGGACAATGAAGTTGATTTCGTATCTTTGCATTTGTGAATTGTGTTACAATAAGCATTTGAGTTCTGGTGTCTTTTTGACATCTTGACTTCTTTTTCTTAGTTTAGGATAGATACCCAGAAGTGATTTTAGGAATCAGATGGTAAGTCTACATCTTTTCTCTGAGGACTCTCCGTGTTCTTTTCCCAAGAGGCTGTGTGCAGTCCCACCAGCAGTCTGTAAGTGCTCCTTTCTCTCTGCATTCACGCCAGTGTCTACAGCCTTCCAACATTTTATAACAGTCATTCTGATGGAGATCAGGTAGAATCTCGCTATGGTTTTAATTTGCATTTCCCTAATGACTAGTGATATTAAATAATTTTTCATGTGTTTGGCCCTTTGTCTCTCTTTTGAAAAATTTCTGTTCATATCTTTTGAACTCATTTTAATGTTTTTTTCTGATTTGTGTGTGTTTAACAGATGCATAGTTTGAAAATATTATCTCCCATTAAGTAGATTGATTATTTCCTTTGCAATGCACAATTTTTTTGTTTTCCTTTTTAAGTCAGAGTCTCACTCTGTCACCCTAGGTAAAGTGCCATGGTGTCATTCATAGCTCACAGCAACCTCAAACTCTTGGCCTCAAGTGATCCTCCTGCCTCTACTTCTGGAGTAGCTAGAACTACAGGCACCCACAATGATGCCCAGTTAACTTTTTTCTATTTTTAGTAGGGATGGAGACTCACTCTTGCTGAAACTGGTCTTGAACTCCTGATTTCAAGCAATCCACCTGCCTTGGCCTCGAAGAGTGCTAGGATTACAGGCGTGAGTCACTGTGCCCAGTATCCTTCTTAATTTAGTTAAGTCCCATTTATTCATTTTTGTTGTTTTGTTTTGGGAGAAATAGTCATAATTCTTTCAGGGTTGTCCTGAAATTCTTTCAGGGTTGTCCAACTTGCAGCCCATTTTGAGGCCTATTATGCTTACCTGGGGTGTTGGATATTACAAAAAGTATGCATGGACTTTTTTTTGCTCATCAGTTGTTGCTGGTGTTTGTGTGTTTAATGTGTGGCCAAAGGCAACTCTTATTCTTGTGGCAGAGAAGTGAAAAGGTTGGATACCTCTGATTCTAGGCCAAGGTCTAGAAGAGATTTTCCTATTTATTCTTCCAGAATTTTTACTGCTTCATGCCTCACATTTAAATTTTTAATCCATGGTGAATTAATTTTTGTATATAACAAGGAACAGGATTCATGTTCCATTCTTCTCAATGTTTCATATTACTCAGTTTTTCCAGTACCATTTATTGAATAGCTGTCTTTCCCCAGCGTATGTTGTTGTCTACTGTGTCAAAGATCAAGCAGTTATAGGCGTATGGTTTTATTTCTGAGTTCTTTATCTTGTCCCATTGGTCTATGCCTTTTATATGAGTACTATTCCGATCTGATTAGTATACACTTGTAGTATAATTTGAAGCCAGGTAATGTGATGCCTCCTGATTTGTTCCTTTTTCTTTTCTTTTTTTTAAGTTTGCTTTGACTATTCAGGCTCTTTTTTTGTTTTCAGATCTGTGAAATGGAATATTGGTTGTTCAGTGAGGATGGTGCTGAATCTGACTGTGTGTTGTCTGGACATTTAACAATGCTGATTCTACAAAACCATAAGCACGGAGGTGTGCCATTTCTAATTTCTTTCTCCAGTGTTTTGTGGTACTCCAGATAGCAATCTTTCACCTGCTCAGTTAAGTATATTCCTAGGTATTTTATTTTCTTCATAGCTGTTGCAAATGTTATTGAAATCTTGATATTTCTCTCAGCTTGACTATTATGACTATATAGAAATTCTCTCTATTTGTGTACATTGATTTTGTAACCTGAGAGTTTGCTAAATTTATTTATCAATTCTAAGTCTTGTGATGGAGTCCTTGGGGGTTTCTACCAATAGATACAATATCAGCAAGCAGAAATAGTTTGGTCTTCTATTTCCAGTGGATGGCCTTTGTTTATTTTTCCTGGTTGCTCTGGCTAAAACGTCCAGTACTAGTAATATTGAATAGATGTGATGACAGTGGAAACATTGTTTTGTTCCAATCTTTAGGGGGAATGCGTTCAACTTCACCCCATTCACTGTGAATTTAGCTGTGGCTTTGTTATATACAGCTTGTATAATTTCGAGGTGTGTTCCTTCTATACTTAGTTTGTTAAGGGTTATTATTATGAAAGGGTGTTGGAGTCTATTGAATACTATCAAGATAGTATTCATCTATCAAGATATCACTTGATCTTGGTTTTTGCTTCTGTTTATGTGGTGAATCACATTTACTGATTTGTATATGTTAAAACATCCTTGCACACAGAGGATGAAACCCACTTGACTTATTTCTTTGATGTGCTGCTAAATTTGGCCAACTAATATTTATTAAAGATTTGTGCATCTATATGCATAAGATTATTTGTCTGTAGTTTGTTTTTTTGTTAGATTTCTACCCCTGGCTTTGAACTTTCGAAGTTCAGATCATGCAGAAAACAATGATGGTTAATGTTTTCACCATATTCACATTTCAATCCCTTGTAACACACTATCTACCTGAAAGTTGGATCTACGAAAGGCTTAAGATATATGTTGACACAATAGACAAATCCCTAAATCTGAATAATAGCTAAACTCAGATACTGAAAATAAATTGTAACCAACAACAAGTTAATGATTTCAAGCCACCACCAAGTTCATAGCTTTGATATTTAGTAAATGCTATTTAGACAAGGTATATTTTTCAATGAAACATTGAAGAGGATATACATAGAGGTTTTTAACTGTCTAAATTTTGATACAACCATTTGCTTCAACGGGCCTCCTGATATTGCCAGAATCACCCAGGATTAACTGAGTCAACGTCAGAACACCTCACTTCCACTTCCTCACCTGTTACAGCCATCGTAGCAAGCTATCTTTCCTCTACTGTTTCATTATTCTTAACATCTTAGATTTGGGGATCATAAGACTTCAAAATGACTCCTCTCCTAGATTTGGGTTCTCTTCCTGGACTACATTATAGATGTTCTTTTGCTTCCAGAGACTATAGCTTGCTGAGAAATCCTGCCCTAATTTGCTCATCTTTCTACCTAACCCCCATTAACTGCCTCTAATTTAATAGAGCCTGTTACTAATACTGCTCAGATTTAGCTGGACTGGGTTCCATGATCAAGACTCAGAGGATTATGTTACACTACCCTGCCCTTTTCTTTTCCTTTGTTCTCCTATGTGTACTTGGAGTAAGTGCAGCCTACTGTTTATTTTAAAATTTGCTAAAACTAGATATGACTCAATTAAATAAGGAGGCAAACGACATACAGTCTCATTTTTGCCCTGTCTTTCGCTCCTGCAGTAAACCAGTTTTCCTGCTGGATTCGCCACACAATAGTAAAATGTAAACCCCTTAAACAAAATACCCTATTTGTCAAAACATCCTTTATTTATAGCCTTTCAAACATCCCAATGTCCTTTCCACATTCCAGTCTGCCTCTGCTGTCTCCTCTCCTCACAGAATCCAACTTCTAAAATTCATATATAAACCTCCATTTAATATTTATCTCGTCTCATATAGTGAGAGCTTTTCAGAAACAGTTCTTTATCACCCTTTTTAGAAATCTCCTTCGTTAATGTTTCTACCGTATTTTCTAATTTTATGTCTTAAAAAAAAGATCTGAAAAATCTCGACATATAATGCACAAAATATTTCAAAATCTGCACTGAT